GTAATAACCTGGAAATGGAAGAGCATTTGGGATAGGCTTGTTGCATGCATGTAGTTTTTTACTACAGTGACTGTCTGATAAATTTTCTGAGGCAAATTTAGGTACATAAATCCTCTGCTTTTCTATGATAAAAAGCATTCAAACACAGCTGAGAGACATAGGGCCACTGTCCCAGACAAACTCAAGAAGTTTGCATCTTAAGGGGTCTGACCAGCAATGCTTTGTTGGTGTCCCATAAATAATGAGAAAATAATTCAGAAACAAGTGGAAATTAATGCAGACAGATCATTGTTTGGTATTATGATGTTCCAGAAGAACAGTTAAGGTCCTATAGAGCTGTGCTGGCCATGGCTCTGATTTACAGAAGCTTCCCCAAAATATCTTTACAAAACAAGAGTGTAGTGGTTCTGTTTCTATTGGAAGTAATACCTTCTTATCACCCAATAAAAGAGATTACAGGAAATTCTGTGAGCAAGAAAGTGGAGAAACAGCAATCACAAACATAGAACAATTAAAGTCATTAATACACTCCTCCAGCTAATTATATTGCCTAGGTTTTTCTTATCCACTAGCTCAAATAATTTTAAGGGATATCTATTTGTGTGTTCTTGTTTCAGACATTATTTGGTTAGTCAATCAGTTCTTTTGGACTTCTAATGTATCCTGGATCTACATCATATGGAAAAGTAGCACCTGGCAGAATTTCATTATTTCTGGTTTTGTATTATTTATTGTTTTTGCAAATTTATGAAGCTGAAAAAATAACTTCAGATTAGTTTATAATAAATCTGGTTCCCCTTAATTGTTGAACATTTAAAGTGAGCATGATTTTACATAAGTATCAGAAAGTAATTTTAATTAACATGATGATTCTCATTCCTAAGGCTTACAGCTTTTTACATTTTATAAAATGGCAAGGAAACAGAAATGAGTGACAACTGTAAACAGAAATAAAAGCAGTTCCCAACTGCCTGCTCACAATTCACGAGTTCTTTTTTTTGCCAGAATTAGTTTCTATTGTTCTAGTTATATTTAGAAATGGCAGTAGGAGGGTTTACTTATGAGATAAAAATTGTGCTGTATTTTTTCTCTTTTTTAATGGACCCAGTGATATTCTTGTATACCAACAAGAACTATTTGACCTTCTTCATTAAAATGCCTGGCATTATTTCAGCTCAATAAAGGAAATAAACAGTACTTCATGCTTCACTCATAAATAAAGAAACAAACCGGCAGATGTAAACAAAAATTACGTAGATGACAAAATAATCCATCTAAGACTTTCAGTTCTCTTCTGATGCTTTGTACTTTGACTTCTACTAGTTCTCTGTTTTCCATCAGGAGTTGTCACCCCCAACAACAAAGCAATAATCCATAACAAAGTGTCTCAATTGTTGGTTCACCCCCTTTGTCAACAGTTTCATTTTGCCATTGATCACTGCTTTCATCAACTCTTAATCCAAAACAAACACTTTGTTATCCTTTCTTTTATTTCTTGCATAGGAAGAAAATCTAATTCATATAGCTGTAATTTTCTCATCCTCAAAGATAATTTCAAAAGTAATGCCACACTAATTCTGACAATACAGAAATGGCTTAAGTAGGATATAGGGCCATCTTTGTCATTATTATTCTCTTCATACTGCTTTCAATATTAACCTGCTACACTTTATCAGCAATCACATTAACATCTCTGGATGAGTGATCAAGTCTACAAAGATACCTTGTCTCCAAAGATTTCTTTGTTCATACCCAATTTTATTGACCTTATATCTTAAAGGTGAGCCTCCTGATCCAGATCTATTACATTAAATGGAAATTTAGTGTAATCCATACCACTGCCTAACACAAAATTCTGCTTGGGATGGAAAACAGCTTTTTAATGTGTGTTTGGATATGTTTTTATTTTTTGCTGGTTTCAAAGAGCTGCTTTAATGAAATGAAAGAAAATAGAGCCTTTTGAATATTCTGATGAGTTTCAGGAATATTAGGTAGTTGCTATAAAGTTTCCATTAACAGTGAAACAAAGGGTAAAGATACACTTTGTATAATGATGCTAATGTACATTATAGATTAGCATATCTGGAAAATGTTATTTCACTCTCAGGTGCAGTTGAACTCTCCATCTGTTTAGTCTCAGTTTAGAATTACTCAAAAACTTGGTCATAACCTGTGCTACCTTACAGAACCTGGGCAGCACTGTTCCCCACAAGGCAACTGTCATGAAACCTTCCCAGAAATAAGAACTGAGAGCAAGGAGCTAAGACCAGCTGCTGGGCTGTGAGGAGAGCTATGAATTAATAAGGATGAGAGAAGTTAATGAGAAACACTCAGCCCTCATATCTGGTTTATGAGATAAACTGAAGGAATTGAAAGGGAAAGGTGACAAAGGACCACTACAAACACACAAAGTTGTGAATGTCAAATGTCAATCAAACATCCACAATTGATTCGTGAATGTTTAATTTTTTTTTTAAGACTGTGGAAAATTAAATGTTGTCGTATTCCCCACTGAATACTTAACCTAAAAATAGCAAATTTCACTTGATTGGATGAATCTCAGCTCTTACATTTCCTTTAGTGAAAAAGACATCTTTAGAGCCATATGTAAGAAAACAGATTAAAAATACATTTAGGGTGAAAATATGCATTAAATGCAACTGAAAATTATTTTTTAAAAGGGCCATACTGGATTTGGTATGTCTAAAATATTAAGCTTTCATTATTTGATCCCTGGAACTTTGCTAAATTCTGAATAAACTATGTCACTGAAGCTAGACAATATTTAGATTGCACTCTCTTTCTTAAGAAATTGTAGTAGCTTTCTGTGTCAAGTGCACTCCTCCATATTGGATGAAATTGAATTTTTTATGTAAAAGACGTGTTTGAAGATTTTTCACTTTGAAAGAACTTATACTTGTCCAAATAATTTAAATACTGAAGCACAGTATTAGCTGTTTAAATCTGATCTGCCAGTAATTATCACCATTTATCCTTGGGTGCAAAAACTGCTTACTACACATCACACAGGCACTCTGATGAATCACTCTTTCAGAAGAGAAAAAAAAAAGAAGAACGGTATGCCAGACTGTTATCTTACAGTTTTAGGCTTTTATTTATGTTATTGCTGGTAGATTGAAGAAAGCTCAGATAGTACCATTTAATTTGCTTCCTAACACGCCTCAAATTCATCTATCAATAATGGCATTAAAATGTCATTGAAAACAATGAAAAGCACAGTGTTAAAAATTATTTTACTACCTAGGGTGAAAAGCATTTCATTATTAAACTTCTCACTTAAAAAGATGCAATGTCCCAAATCAATGTCTTGTACCAAGTGCAGAAACCAGTGTTAATAAATTATTCTTATGAATAAAACAAGAACTAGACATCATGAATCTGCAAGACTTTCAAAATGCCGCCTCAGCTTGCTCACTGTGCGTTTTTCTTTTCAATTCACATGGCACCATTTTGGAGGGAAATAGCCCAGGTTTGTTTAAGGCAGCCAACTCATATGTGACCAGCCAATAATGAGCTAAATCTGTTACTCTGTGGTAAAAAAAAAATAAATTTAAAAGTGCCTTTTTATCTTGATGGACAAGTGTCCTCAAAAGGCTGAATAAATTTTTATAATAGCGTTTACAGTTCTCCAAAGAGGAAAGAATGTACACTGACAACTTCATATCTTTTCACTTTACTGGATTTACCAGTATCACTTTGTAATATAGGTGTGTAAGATGATAATATGCCCAGGAAATAAATTATATTTGACACTGCAATATGAGTAAAAATAAAACTTTAAAAAGTAATTATGAATATTAGCCAATCAGTACGCATATGCTCTGCAAGCTCTTTTTCAACAGTTCAACTTCAGATCTCCTCCTATTTTAAAAGCGTTCAAAAATAAAATCTGTTTAAAGATCTGGACAGTAATTGTTGATATGAGATTACTTTGATCAATGTGCACGTTTGCATGAAAACTGGTCTTCTATGAAGGAGTAATGCATCTTGATTTACCTTTTACAGTTATTCACTTTTTCTGTTATTTGGCAGGACATATTCTGTAACATAGTATTCCTGCACAGCCTGTGTTGGAACAGACTGTAAAGGGCAGAAATGGGACACAAAAGCAAGTGTGCCCGCCCTTCCAGCTGATTACCTGACAGAATATAATTATAGCAACATCTATAAACTCATCTTTTACCACTTTGAACAAAGTCAGAGTGCAGGTGAAATCCTCTCCCGCATCTATAGCTAAGTTAAACACACATTAGTCTGTCTCATGTTATGTGCCATAATTTTTAAATAACATTTTCCTTATAAAGGAGGATGACTGTGAACCTAAAATGGAATGTTAAGTTTCCAAGGTGCACAAGTTTCAAATTTTTTGTAGTGACTATGACTGATAACAGAAATATTGGTGATACAGCAGTAACAAGTATTCTTTCCTTACTACTTATTTGTTGTACACCTCTGTTTCAAGGAGAGGTATATTTTGAACAGCTGCTGTATCTGAATAAATTGATTTTCACTGTATTCTCAGCAGATTAACAGTAAGTGGAAGCTATCCTTTTACAAAGCTTTATCACTTCTTTCAAAAGGCACTCCTTCTTCAATCCATTCTGATACCAATATTGACCTGCTGATGGGAATGCATCTTATAAACCTGCAGATAAATGTCTCCTGGCAATGCTTACAGCGATGCATTTTTTTCTAACTGAAGACTTTGTGCAGGCTCTCTTTTAAAGAAGAGATTGTGTGTATGCAAGCCTCACATTCCAGGACAAATTTTAAAAAAGGGAAGGTTTAGGTTTATAGGTGCCTACAGCTGCCGACAAAAAATTAAACAAATACCCTATACTTGCAACTTGCAAAATTATAGAAATGTGGACTGGGACAATTTGCCTAAACCTCACTGATTGTCATGGTAGAGCTGTACATCTGGTGAAGTACTTATTTGAAATTTTTCTAAAATAGTATGACACAAAAACTATTCTCACCATCAGTAACTTCTGAGGTGGACGACTCATCCATGCCGACTGTGGCAGGGTTCCCTGCAGCAGGCAGAGCAAGGGGACCAGGTATGACACCAATCAGCAGCAGCTCTACTCTCTGCTCCAGCCTCTGTCTGGCTTGACAGCGTATCACAACTACAGAAAAGCAAAAATATCTTATTTGCAAAGCACAGGTATCTTGATCTTAACAAAGAAATGAAACATAGAAGCTAAATGTGCTTAGAGAAAGACAGAATTCCAGTAAGGAGCAAGACAACTAAAAGTTTTCCCAACCTCCACTTTCTATTTTTCTGTTTTGGTGAAGTAGTAGAATATATTGCTAAGGAAATAAAAATCTGTTAAGTTAGTTCCCAACAGCATTTGCAAAGGTCTCTTTTATCATTAATTATGAAATGTATCTTCATTTTAGTTCAACTGCTAATAGGAATTATGGCATAGTTTGAAATATGCCAGTAAGAAAGGAAGACTGAAAGAAAACCAAAAAAAAAAAGGTTTCATGACTAAATGAAAGAATATTAAGTTACTCTTTGCTTTCTGAGTTTGAGAATACTGTTGTTCAAACTTCAACTTTAACAGAAATATGCCAGAATAAAAAGCATTCTCGCATGAGTTTCTGTTTGAAGCATCATAGAACTTCTTTCAGTTCAGTGAGTGATTTTAATTTACTGCTTCCAAAATGTCTTTTTCATTACAAAGTTGTTAGGTTTTAGCTTTTACACTAGTTTTTACAAAGCTTATTCCAATAGATATTTTTCTGATTCTTTCATACTTATTGGCACAGAAAAAGGAGAAAATTACATAAAAGCACTGAAAAAATGTTTTCCCAAAGAAAAGACCTAGAAATTTATAGAGATCTGGGAATCAACAGAAAAAAGAACAGCTGACTATGTACTTTTTAGTTTCAAGTTCTATAAGTAATTTTCATCAGAGTCAGACCCAGTCTTTCTTCAAAAATTAATTCTGAAGTTAACATCAGGAATTAAGGATCAGTAATTTGGAACCATATTGTGGTGAATCATTATGCAGCATTTTGAAAAAGAATAAGGAAACCCCTTTTTTGATATCATGTTCATTTAGCTTCAACTTTTGGTTCTGGCACTTTATACACTACCATAACTCTGCAAAATGAATAATTACACAACAAGTTCAGGTAATTTCCTTTCTCCCTTGGTCTTTCCCTGTTTAACAGGGTGTAAGTAATTTATAGAGATCTCTTAGAATTTCCATGAGGGAGAGTTACTGAAATAGGTTAAACACACTTTTTTTTTTTTGTTTAAATGTATGACCTTATATTTAAAAATAGATTACATTCTCTGTATTCCACTAGTTTACAAAGTGTTTCAGATTACTGTGTGCACATTGTGTCATTTTCTATTCTACAGTTCATCTTACTGCCAAACTTGATTTTTTACTTTCTTTTTTCCTAAATGGCTAAGTAAAATGTATGAATAAAATTCAGAGGTATCTAGAATTTGACTGGACAAGTCCCTGAGCAAGCTGCTCTTGAGTAGGTGGTTGGATTAGAGGACCCCCAGTGGTCCCCTCCAATTAAAGTTGCTGCATGCTTCTTTGACTCTACACTCTACAAGAATTAAAAGAATATTCTGGATGACCCTCCATTTGTAATCACTTCTATAAGATAGCCAAGGTATCATCTACTTAACATGTACTACATGGGTTGTGACCACTGATCATTTTAATTGGTCTCATGAGATAGAAAGCCAAGTGAATTCTAGAAGTTTAAGTGTATTAAGATGCAAATAAGAATGACCCAAAGATGAACTCCTTAATATACCAGCAAAGCAGCTCAGGGTTTTGACACAGAAACTTGTAGCCTCCAGGCAATTCTAATAAATGTCTGCATTTAGAGAGATGACAATACTCTTGATCATTATAATTTTTTTTAAAGTAGAATCCTTGTTATCACTTGCTTTGGATTTTTACCTTACAATGTAAGTTTTCTAAATGCCCATTTATAACTGAAAACCATAGGCTTTCAGAATCAAGGTGGGAGTGGAAAATTCCATAAACACACTTACAAACACCTATTTCTGTTTTCTGGGACATTCTTCAAAGATCTAGTTTTTCCTTGAGAAAAAATATTAGCCCAACATAACATACCAATGGCCAAAGAACAATATGCATTCAAAATTAATACAATGCATTTTTATGTATTACAAACATTTATTGAACATAAACTAATGGATAACAGTTATAAATATGCTACAATTTAGTTTTACTGTTTTAATAAAGCATTTAGGACTTTGAAATGACTTAAGGGTTGATAGTATATGAGCTTCTGATCATATACAGAAGTGACATCACTTAAGCAATTCAGGAATGCTAAACATTTTCATTCATAACATATATAGAAAGTATTGGGTCCTGCACTTGGGGCACAACCCCAGACAATGCCCCAGGCTTGGGCAAGAATGTCTGGAAAGCTGCCCAGTGGAGAAGGAGTTGGGGATGTTGACGAAAAATAGTCTGAACATGAGTTTAAGTGTGCCCAGGTAGCCAAGAAGGCCAATGGAACCTGGCCTGGATCAGGAACAGTGTGGTCAGCAGGAGCAGGGCAGTGATTGTCCCCTGTACTGGGCACTGGTGAGGCCACACTTCGAGTGCTGTGTCCAGTTCTGGCCCCTCAGTTCAAGGGGGGACATTGAGGGGCTGGAGCAAGCCCAGAGGACAGTGAAGCTGGGAAAGAGTCTTGAGATTAAGAAGAGTGACTGAGGGAGTTGGGGGTGTCTAGCCTAGAGAAAAGAAGGTTCAGGAGAAACCACCTCCATATCTAGAACCACCTGGAAGGAGGGTGTAGCCAGCTGGGGATCAATCTCTTCTCCCAAGCAACAAGTGACAGGACAAGAGGAAATGGCCTCAAGTTGTGCCAAGGGAGGTTTAGACTGGATATTGGGGAAAAAAATTCTTCATGGAAAAGGTGGCCAGGTGATGGAACAAAGTGCCCAGAGAACTGGGGGAATCATCACACCTCAAAACATTCAGAAACCACAGAGATGTGGTACTTAGGCACATGGTTTGGTGGTTACATGGAGTTAATAGTGGGACTCAATGATCTTAGAGGTCTTTTTCAACCTTAATGATTCTGTGATTTCAATGAAAGCAACAGCCCAATAAAAGGGAGATTTATCTTGAGGAGTGCCACTGAATTACACAAGAGCTTTAAATAACACAACAAACATCCACATCCATATACATGGTTCTAATGCTAATGAGACTCATTAAAGCCATCATTTTGGGCAACAGTTGATTACATGATAATATTCTGTTTCTTTCCTTAAGGTATTAAAGTGCAAATTAAAGAGATGAAAGCTCTAATTAATACCACATCATTGGCATTTGTCTACAAGTAAAGAGTCCTTAAGCAATATGAATTAATGACAGTACAAATATCTATTTCTATGTTTTTTCCAGAAATTGTTCATGTATCTTAATACATTTAATGTCAAAAGGTTGTCAAAAATTCACTCATTTAATCAATAAAAGGTAAGCTGAAAGGACAAGCTGGTTAGAATTGGTCCCACGTGTACACATTGAGCTGTAGTTCCAGATAAATTTAAAAAGCTGCTCACAACTTCCTGTTTCATAGCTCTGGAATTATACCACACCTTAAAAATACTGATGGTCAAATATATAAGCATTTACTATCCCCAGAATAAGTAAGAAACCTCCAAGAATGTCTTCATCTTTTAATGCAAGTTTACTTCTAAGGACCAAAGGGAAAACTTACTGCTGTTCACACTACTTTATATTCTGGTTTTGATTAAGAGATGAAATTCAAGGCTGAGAGAGGTAGCGAACATCTACCCCAATATTGCGCACCCTGTACACTCTCCAGAGGGTGTTCTGGGTATGCAAGAAGAAATCTACCCTTGAGTCAGTCCTTTGCTCAGCTTACCTTCAGTTCTCAAACTCAGGATTAATTGGGATACTGAAGGATACAGCCCTTAAGATTTACAACTGACCCCAATTCCTTTTATCCACAATAAGAACAAAGTAATGATCTAGATTTGCTTTGGAAGTGGGAGATTTTGATTTTAATATGCGATTTTATCTTTTTTTAATATATAGCTAAGTTCTGCTGCAAATTCTTGTGATCAAGCAGGTAAGAATATACCTATTTGATTTTCCTACATATTCTTAAATATATTGTTCAAGCTTTTTTCAAGCATTACCTACCTGATTTCTGCTGTGGTGCTTCAGGTGTTCCATTAACGGGATAGATCCAGAGTATTCCCCGAGCTTCCCCATTCTCTGCTACAATAACATTTCTAGAAAAACACAAGTATCAATTACACTGCTGAAAATTCTATTTCCAAAGTAATCTAGACTTAAGAGTTGTTGGAAAGGTTAGACTCTATTCTAGTCTATACTGCAATGCTTACCATATCTGAGAAAAGTATTAAATAAAATCCAGCTAACTATATATCAGCTATAAATTATATTATCTACAACTTAGATCCACTGAGTGTATTCAAACATTATAGATCTGAAAACTTTTGGCCTGATCTGCATTCTGTCAGGTTATGTTTACACAGATAGAATTTCTGCAGTTTATGAATTACATAAAAATATCAGGATGTGATTCATTATTATCCCAAATATATTGAAAGGACAGAGGTACTAAGAGCTTTAATTTGCTCAATATCCATAACTGCACCAGCAGCCAGTACTTTACATTTTCTTTATTTAAAGCAAGAATAGATAGGTATTGAAACAGACAGACATTTCACCCTGAATCTGCATACTTTGCAGGGTACATTAAAAGCTTTTGATGGATACCCACTGCCCTCAAAATCAGACACTGGACTGCCCTTGGGAGCTACACATGAATAGTCAATGGGATAAATGGTGACAGGATTGAGCATCTCAACTACTTTTTCCTTTCCTATTAGAATAAATTACCTGTTTAAGTCTGAATTTGATTCAGCAGTAACCTCATAAGGCCAGTTCTCACCATTTTCCCTCGTTACATGAATTACCACCACTGCTTTATAAATTTTCATTTCAGCTGGCATGAATAATATAGGGATTTCCAGTTTTTCTTTTGGAGCTAATTGGATTCCTGCAAGATGAAACAGATTGTTGTGGTATTTTGGAAGTTTTCAAAATATTTTCTATCATTTTACTCATATCTTTCCCTTTCCCTTTTTTAACCACTGTTTAACCTTTTATCATATTGTAGGGTTGCCCCTTAAAAAAATCCCATTTTACCCTGTCTTTGCTACAAACAAACCCAAAACAAAACCACAATTAAGTGAATGTCCCACATTTAATATTCAGAGATCATGTGTAATATATACTTGTCAATACCATGATTTTGTAGGCCCTAAGTCATGATTTCTTCAGTTGTGAGTTACATCTGTGAGTAATAGTGCATTAAAAAGATCAATCCAAAAAAAAAAAGCTCACATTCAAGACAACTATAATATATTTAAAAGAATCTTCATTATTATTATTATACAAACCACGCCTTTTCCGTATGATTTTTTATCTGATTGAATTTGCTGTTTAAAAAAAAAACCAAACTAAACTTATGCTGTCTCTAATGAAAAGAGCCTGATATTTTCAATCTTTAAGGGTCTTTTTCCAGTGTCTTGCCACTCTGCCAAGAGTCAAAACATCTACCTGAGCTATTTCAGAAATAATCCAAAGATTACACAGAGTAGAACAAGTAAATCAGTCTTTTAACTATAAAGCTCTTTGTTTGAAAAGAATTCCTGGAAGCTGCAGGAAATTACACTTCAGGGTCAGGGTTTCAGCTTTAATTCTAACTGCAGAAAATCCTCTTAGTTACAAGTAACTACTTCTACATTATGCTTTGAATCAGTTTTTGTGATAATATTTCACACTTTCTACAATGAATACAAGCTGCTGCAGGTCTGTGGGTGTCAGTCTCTGAGAATGACTGGATCTGCTGGAGTCACCCTGCCTGGAACATGCAGCACCCTCCTGGGAATTGCTTCTTTGATCACTGCAGGTGGCTTCATGCTCAAATAATGTCAGCAGGGAAACTTCACCTGGTGCTCCAAATGGTCACCTTCCTCCAGCCAAAATTCCTCGAGGGTGAAGACCTCAGAGCTGAGAGCTGTAGAAGAGTGGTGGTAGGGAAATTGTAATGCAGTCTTGGGAAGGATGAAATGGAAAAAAAGGTGAATGCACAGAAGTTTGGGAATGAAGGTGGAAGTGTTGGGAGACGAAGTACAATTATGTCATACAAGAATGGCCAGAAAGACAAAAATGTTCAAGTCCTATCAGGGAAGGAGAGAAGGGTTTGAAAAACAGTTCTCCAAAACACAGGATACAAGTCTGGACTCCTCATCTGCACTAATTCCCTACCAGTACTTAATTATAAAGTCCATGGGTGTTAAGCTTTCTGCTAGAAACACTCTTAAATTTAAATAAACTAACCAAATTAAGATGGGAAAATCAATCTTAAATTAGGAAAGTTGTGAATATTTAAAACCATACAACCCTGCAGGTTTTCTACCTCTCACAGTTAAAAAGGCCTCAGGACATCAAATATAGACCACTGCCTCACTTTATTATGAATGGGAAAAGCCATAAGACGTTCTTACCTAAGCTTATCCGAATTTCTCTATGTAAGAAGTTTATCAAATACTAATTATGAAAATTAACCAGCTGTTTTGCATTTGTGATTGCTTAATTCTTGTGTATTTGTAGAATTCATCATGGCAAGAGCAATTTGCATTTTAAATAATTACTTGAAAAGTTTTGTATCATGAAAGAGCTTGAAAATATCCTAATTAAAAACCATTAAAATATTAATATCTAAATGAAAAACCAAACTATATTTTTTCTCATTTTGATAAAGATTTAATATTTTTTAGATGTTTGAGGCATTATCTATCAAGCCCATACCCAAATTTTAAAAAATATACTACATATACATGCATTGTTGGCAACTACATGGTCAAAGTGAAAATCTTTTAAAATTAGCAGCTTATTTTTAATCCCTTATCTGAAATAAATAAGCTGATATCAGGCATAGTTATAATACTCCTGAAGACATCTGAACTGGGATCCACCCCTCTGGATCACAAACCCACTACAGCACTGACACACTATTCTCCCTCAGTGAAAGAAGAATCAGCTCTCTGCTGGGATTTGCACCCTTTGGGCTTACTCTGCTCTAGTTAACACAAAGGTATGTAATATCTTTAAAACAGAAGAATATACTTCAGGATGTATTTGCACTTAGATTGCCTTGAATCCACACATACATGTGGATTATATAATGTAATAATGTAAGCACCTTGTAACACCATTACAGCGCATCCTTAAGTTTCATTTGCAAAGCTTTTAACAGATGGCAAATAGAACAGACTGTAAACTTATAACTAGTTATATACATTACATTACATATTTTCAACTGTAGCTTAATGATGCCTGTTACAGAACAGAGCCCCTCGGATTTTTTTTAAATAGATTTTAATACAGAATCCATATGACAACATTCTGGGTCATTCTGGCAGAAAATTGGTTATTAAAGATGATGAAAAGACAAATTTTATAATATTGCTATTGAAACATATTGTATTCACATTTTTAATAAAAAATATGCTTAATAGAAGATGTTCATAATAATGGTATTTTTTATATCACAAGGCTTGCCTGCAGTTGTCAACTAACCAACTGATCATTAACTGCTAATACAGATTTATGTCATTATGATTTTGGCTAGTTAATAAGATAGATAAAATAGGCATAACAGCAAATATAATTTGCTTTTTTTTTCTTTCCCATTTAGAGAATGTGGGCTAGCACACAGAAAATAGCTCTGTGTACAACTTCAACAAAAATCAGTGCTATCTGCTCCTATTTGCCTCAGAACATCAAGTACTCTGCCAGGGATACCAAAAACTGATACCAATGGCTGATCCTTTGCCTTTGTGTAATTATCTTACTGCAATGAATATCCACAAATTCTGTGTAATAAATCCACAGGAAGTCCCTTTTCTGAACACAGGTATATCACATTTGATAAAAAGCTTTGGGCTAGATTTTGGTAATACCTCACTCTTCTTTCACTGTCCTACAGCCCATTAGGAAACAGTTAAATTTAGCAGAGCAAGCTCACTGACCCATTAAAGACTGAAGGCATCTGACTCCAAGGGCTGCAATTTGATTCAACTGCCTTACAAAGAAGTGTGTGGAGTTCTGCATCCTCCCTCATTTCATTTTTAGGTAACCTTTTGTTAAGCTTTGCCTCTAGCCCCCCCAGAGGCTGCTGGAGAACACTGATTCTGTAAAAGATTCCTCAGGCATTGAGCCTGGAACTCAGAACTGGATTAAATAACAAATCACAATGAGTATATTTCAAATTCTTGGCTACAATTCTTTGGGACACTGCACTGTGGTTGAGTTCTGTGCAAGTTTTGTGTCAGCCCTAGAAAGCTCAGCATTATGAGAACTGAAATTCAAGCAGCAGTGGATGCCAGTAGCTGGGATGTTATTTGGAAGGAATACAGATGGGTCAAGATGCATTTTTTGCCTCTACAGTAGATTAGGCAAAATGGTAAGAGCAAGCATACCAGACATGGTACTGTGATGGAAAGGAACAAAATGTGTTGCAATATGTCATCCTCCTATTGAACTTTAACCTAAAGCCATGTATTTTTCATATTAGTAAAGTGCTTTGCAGGTAGATTTTCTAGATGCTGAAGTGCATCTCCCTGATTCACTGCTCTTAATTCTGTAGCATCTGAGTGCCTCCCATTGATTTTACCCAAAAGAAGAGCAGTCAGTTCAGTCTCCTTTAATTGAAAAAGAGAGATGAGACAGAGCTCAGAATATCTTGTTGAAGTCTCATGGAGAATCATTTAGGAGGGGGAACTTTTATTTCTTTGTTTGTTTTCTTGATAGTTTCTCCATTAAAATTACCATAGCAGCATTTTGATTAAACGCAAAGACAGTTCTGCTAAAATTAGCACTGGCCATGTAAATGTCAATTCACTATAGTTAGGTCTGTTTTCTCCTATTATCCTCAGAATCTGGAAAGGGCAACCTCCAAAATATCCATACACAGCAGCTGCTGCTGGGGAATTATTGCTAATACCTTCTCAAGGAACTCATCCAGAAAAGGAGAATTGATATCAGATAGCAAAGAGTGAGATACTGCCAGCACACCAGTATCCAAAATGCATTGACAAAGTCAGACCTAGATATTAATTTCTTGTCATCTGCTGGAAGAGATAAAATCCTGGTTCACATATGAAAACTAAGATCTTTTATAGCACCTTCCCCAGAAGTGTTTCATTGCTAAATCCCAAGAGTCGACAGCATTTATATTTTGACTCATATTAAGGGTGGGTCCATTTTTGCTTGCATCTTTTTCTTTTTTTTTTTTAGTGGTTCCAATGAGGCTGCTTGAATTTTTTATTCCCTTTCATTAAAACATAATCACAATCCCTTGTTATGGATTCTAATTTAAAAACTGTAAGAGTAGCAGCCTGTTAGTTTTGCTATATCAGTATTATAATTATTCAGTCTCAATGAGTAAATATAAATAAAATATTCTGAATTGGCAGTCATCATACAACAGCCAACAGCTTTCATCTGTGGAGATATTCAGAACTTGACTCGACATGGTCTTGGACAACCTGATGGAGATGACCCTGCTTGAGCCACAGAGGGTTTGGATGGACAAGATGATCTCAGGAGGTTCCTTTACCACCTAAACAGTTCTGTGCTTCTAGAATTCTGAGGTCATGATAGATCAACAGGCTTTGTCTTGCTTCTGTTTTTAAGAATTCACACAAAATGCATCCTTGTTTGCAAAACCAGACACAGATACTTTTCTCATTTAATTGCAGGTGAAATGAAAAGCAGTGCACCCTACAAAGGGAAAGCACAAAGGCAAGAACAAGAGATCACCCTGACATAACAATTAGATTTTGGGTGCAATTAAAGACAAAGAAGCAGGATACTTCTAATTGCATCTTCTCTGGGACAAATAAAATGGAACATAATGCACTTCAAGGTATTTAAAGTTCCATACAAATAGCTAAGTAAAAGATCTTATAAAATAACCATGCAAAATGC